CCATTTTGGGGGGTTTGGGGGGATTTTGGGGTGTTTTTGGGGGATTTTGGGTGATTTTGGGGTGTTTTGGGGGGATTTTAGGGTGTTTTGGGCTATTTTGGGGTGTTTTTGGCTATTTTTGGGTGTTTTGGGCTATTTTGGGGTGTTTTTGGGGTGTTTTTGGGGTGTTTTGGGCTATTTTGGGGTGTTTTGGGCCATTTTGGGGTGTTTTTGGCAGCGGCTGCGGGACCAGATCAAGACATGGGTGGCCTCGAACGAGATCAAGGACAAGCGGCAGCTGATCGACAACCGCAAGCTGATCGAGACGGTGCCGCCGGGATTGGGGCGAAAAACGGGGATTTGGGGCAAAAAACGGGGATTTCGGGGAAAAAAACGGGGATTTGGGGCAAAAAATCCCCAGATCTGAGGCAAAAAACGTGGAATTTTGGGCAAAAAAATGTAATTTCAGGGGAAAAACCAAAGGGGTTTGGGGTAAAATCCATGGATTTTGGGCAAAAAAAGGGATTTTGGGGCAGAAAAATGGGATTTTGGGGAAAAAAAGTGAGGATTGGGGCAAAAAAATGGGATTTTCGGGTATAAAAGTGGGAATTTTTGGTAAAAAATCTGGATTTTGGGAAAAATGGGAGATTTAGAAGGAGAACTTGGGTTATTTTGGGGGTAAATGAGGATTTTTTGAGTGAGAAATTGTATTTTTAGAAGGGAAATTTGGGTTATTTTGAGCAAAATGTGATATTTAGAAAGAAAATTGGATTTTTTGAGGGGAAATTGGGATTTTCTCTGAGAAAAATCCTATTTTTAGTGGGAAAATTTGGGGTTTTTTGAGGAAAAACGAGATTTTTAGACAGAAAATTTGGGTTATTTTGAGGGAAATTGGGATTTTCTCTGAGAAAAATGTGATTTTTGGACAGAAAATTTGGGTTTTTTTGAAGAAAAATGAGATTTTTAAAAAGAAAATCGGATTTTTTGAGGAGAAATTGGGATTTTCTCTGGGAAAAATGTGATTTTTAGGAGGAAAATTTGGGGTTTTTTGAGGAAAAATGTGATTTTTAGACAGAAAATTTGGGTTTTTTTGAGGAAAAATGGGATTTTTAGACAGAAAATCACATTTTTTTGGTGCCCAAGGAGGATTTTTTGGGTTTTTTCCTCCTCTCCCGGGTTTTGTCCGCTGGGGAATTTTGTGGAATTTTGTGGAATTTTTGGGGGGAATTTTTTTGGGGAATTTTTTTGGGGAATTTTTTTGGGGAATTTTGGGGAATTTTTTTGGGGAATTTTGTGGAGTTTTTTTGTGGAATTTTGTGGAATTTTGTGGAATTTTGTGGAATTTTTGTGGAATTCTGTGGAATTCTGTGGAATTTTTTTGTAAAATTTTGTGGAATTTTGGGGAATTTTTTTGGGGAATTTTGGGGAATTTTGTGGAATTTTTTGGGGGAATTTTGGGGAATTTGTGGAATTTTGTGGAATTTTTTTGTGGAAGTTTGTGGAATTTTGTGGAATTTTGGGGAATTTTGTGGAATTTTTGGGGGGAATTTTGTGGAATTTTGTGGAATTTTTGGGGGAATTTTGGGGAATTTTGTGGATTTTGGTGGAATTTTTTTGTGGAATTTTGTTGAATTTTTGTGGAATTTTTTTGTGGAATTTTGTGGAATTTTTTTGTGGAATTTTGTGGAATTTTTTTGTGGAATTCTGTGGAATTTTTTTGTAAAATTTTGTGGAATTTTGGGGAATTTTTTTGGGGAATTTTGGGGAATTTTGTGGAATTTTTTGGGGGAATTTTGGGGAATTTGTGGAATTTTGTGGAATTTTTTTGTGGAAGTTTGTGGAATTTTGTGGAATTTTGGGGAATTTTGTGGAATTTTTTGGTGGAATTTTGTGGAATTTTGTGGAATTTTGGGGAATTTTTGTGGAATTTTTTTGTGAAATTTTTTTGTGGAATTTTGTGGAATTTTTGTGGGATTTTGTGGAATTTTTGTGGATTTTTGTAAATTTTTGTGGAATTTTGTGGAATTTTGGGGAATTTTGTGGAATTTTGTGGAATTTTTGTGGGATTTTTTTGTGGAATTTTGTGGAATTTTGTGGAATTTTATGGAATTCTGTGGAGTTTTTTTGTGGAATTTTGTGGAATTTTTTTTTGGAATTTTTGTGGAACTTTGTGAAATTTTGTGGGGTTTTCTGGAATTTTGATTTTTGTCCGTTTTTGGGGTTTTTTGCAGCAAATGGAGAGGTTCAAGGTGGTGGAGAGGGAGACGAAGACCAAAGCCTACAGCAAGGAGGGGCTGGGGCTGGCCCAGAAAGTCGACCCCGCGCAGAAGGAGAAGGAGGAGGTCGGGCAGTGGCTCACGGTGAGCATTTACCCAAAAATTCACTTTTTCCCCCCAAAATTCACTTTTTTTCCCTCAAAAATCCACATTTTCTCCCCAAAAATTCACATTTTTCCCCCAAAATTGACTTTTTTTCTCCAAAAATTCACTTTTCCTGCTAAAAAATCCCTTTTATTTGCCAAAAAATTCACTTTATTTGCCAAAAAGTATACTTTTTTCCCCAAAAATTCTATTTTTTCCCCCCAAAATTGACTTTTTTTCTCCAAAAATTCACTTTTCTTACTAAAAAATCCCTTTTATTTGCCAAAAAATTCACATTTTCTCCCCAAAACTTCACTTTTTCCCCCAAAAATTCACATTTTCTCCCAAAAAATTCACATTTTTCTCCCAAAAATTCACATTTTCCCCAAAACTTCACATTTTTCCCCCAAAATTGACTTTTTTTCCCCAAAAATTCACTTTTCTTACTAAAAAATCCCTTCTATTTGCCAAAAAATTCACTTTTTTCCCCCAAAAATTCACATTTTTCCCAAAAATTCACTTTTTTCCCCCCAAAATTGACTTTTTTCCCCCAAAAATTCACATTTACTTCCCAAAAATTCACATTTTCTCCCCAAAATTCACATTTTTCCCCCAAAATTGACTTTTTTTCCCCGAAAATTCACTTTTCTTACTAAAAAATCCCTTCTATTTGCCAAAAAATCCACATTTTCTCCCCAAAACTTCAATTTTTCCCCCAAAAATTCACATTTTCTCCCAAAAAATTCACATTTTCTCCCAAAAAATTCACATTTTCTCCCCAAAAATTCACATTTTTCCCCCAAAATTCACATTTTTCCCCAAAAATTCACATTTTCTCCCCAAAAATTCACATTTTTTTCCCCAAAAAATTCACATTTTTCCCCCAAAAATTCACATTTTCTCCCCAAAAATTCACTTTTTCCCCAAAAAATTCACATTTTTTCCCCAAAAATCCACATTTTTTCTTTAAAAATTCACATTTTTTCCCCAAAAAGTTCACTTTATTCCCCAAAAATTCCCATTTTCTCCCCAAAACTTCACCTTTTCCCCCCAAAGTTGCTGTTTTTTGCTGCTGGAGCTGTGCTGGTGCTGAGGGCGCTTTTTGCCCGTTTCTGGCTCTTTTTGCCCCAGAACACGATCGACACGCTCAACATGCAGGTGGATCAGTTCGAGAGCGAGGTGGAGTCGCTGTCGGTGCAGACGCGCAAGAAAAAGGGGGACAAGGATGTGAGTGAGCCAAAAACACCCCAAAACGCCCCAAAAACACCCCAAAACACCCCAAAATCATCCGAAATCACCCCAAAAACACCCAAAAACACCCCAAAAACACCCCAAATCACCCCAAAAACACCCAAAACCACCCCAAAAACACCCCAGAAACACCCCAAAACACCCCAAAAACACCCGAAATTACCCAAAATCACACCAAAAACACCCCAAATCACCCCAAAAACACCCAAAATCACCCCAAAAACACCCCAAAACCACCCCAAATCACCTCAAATCACCTAAAATCACCCCAAAAACCTCAAAATCACACAAAATCACACAAAATCACCCAAAATCACCCCAAAAACGCCCCAAAAACACCCGAAGTCACCCCAAAAACCCCAAAATCACCCCAAAAACTCCCAAAATCACCCCTAAACACTCCAGAAACACCCAAAAACACCCCAAAACACCCAAAATCACCCGAAATCACCCCAAAAACACCCAAAATCACCCCAAAAACACCCCAAATCACCCCAAAAACTCCCAAAAACACCCCAAATCACCCCAAAAACACCCGAAATTACCCAAAATCACCCCAAAAACACCCGAAATTACCCAAAATTACCCCAAATCACCCCAAAATCACCCCAAATCACCCCAAGACACCCAAAATCACCCCAAAAACACCCAAAATCACCTCAAATCACCCCAAATCACCCCAAATCACTCCAAAAACACCCAAAATAACGCAAAATCACCCCAAGTCCCCCAAAAAACTCAAAATCTCCCCAAAATTATTCCCAAATGACACAAAATCATCCCAAAATCACCCAAAATCACCCCGAAATTATCCCAAATCAACCCAAAAATCACAAAATCACCCCAAAATCAACACAAAATCACCCCAAAATCAGCCCAAAATCACCCAAAATGACACAAAATCATCCTAAAATTATCCAAAATCACCCAAAATCAGCCGAAAAAAATGGTTTTTTCCCATTTTCCCGTGTTTTCCCCCCAGAATCGGGGCCGCATCGAGGCCCTGAATCCTCGGCTGGAGCTGAACCCCCATCCCAGTGACCCCTGAGCCCGTTTTTATCCATTTTCACCCCATTTTAACCATTTCACCTTTTAACCCATTTTAAGCCCGTTTTTTCCCCATTTTTACGTTTTTCACCCCGTTTTTTCCTGTTTTTTCCCATTTTCACCCCGTTTTTTCCCGTTTCTGGCTGTTTTCCCCCCAGAAGCAGGACCGCATCGAGGCGCTGAAGCGGCAGCTGGAGCTGAACCCCCATCCCAGTGACCCCAGACCCCATTTTTATCCATTTTCACCCCATTTCACCCCGTTTTAACCCATTTTAACCGCTGAACCCCCATCCCAGTGACCCCAGACCCCATTTTTATCCATTTTCACCCCATTTCACCCCGTTTTAACCCATTTTAACCTCGTTTTTTCCCGTTTTTTTGCCATTTTTCCCATTTTCACCCCGTTTTTTCCCGTTTTCCCGTGTTTTCCCCCCAGAAGCAGGACCGCATCGAGGCGCTGAAGCGGCAGCCGGAGCTGAACCCCGATCCCAGTGACCCCTGACCCCATTTTCACCCCGTTTTAACCCATTTTAACCCCGTTTTTTCCCGTTTTTTCACACTTTAACCCCGTTTTTTCCCATTTTCACGTTTTTCACCGTTTTTTCCCGTTTTCCCGTGTTTTCCCCCCAGAATTGGGACCGCATCGAGGCGCTGAAGCGGCAGCTGGAGCTGGGAATTGATCCCAGTGACCCCTGACCCCATTTTCACCCCGTTTTAACCCATTCTGACCCATTTTAACCCCGTTTTTTCCCCATTTTTACACTTTTTTCACCGTTTTTTCCCGTTTTCCCGTGTTTTCCCCCCAGAATTGGGACCGCATCGAGGCGCTGAAGCGGCAGCTGCAGCTGAACCCCCATCCCAGTGACCCCAGACCCCATTTTAACCCATTTTAACCCCGTTTCACCCCATTTCACCCCATTTTAACCCATTTTAACCTCGTTTTTTCCCATTTTAACCTCGTTTTTTCCCGTTTTTTTGCCATTTTTCCGTTTTTCACCCCGTTTTTTCCCGTTTTCCCGTGTTTTCCCCCCAGAAGCAGGACCGCATCGAGGCGCTGAAGCGGCAGCTGGAGCTGGGAATTGATCCCAGTGACCCCTGACCCCATTTTCACCCCATTTTCACCCCGTTTTTTCCCATTTTAACCCATTCTGACCCCGTTTTTTCCCGTTTTTTCCCATTTTCACCCCGTTTTTTCCCGTTTCTGGCTGTTTTCCCCCCAGAAGCAGGACCGCATCGAGGCGCTGAAGCGGCAGGTGGAGCTGGGAATTGATCCCAGTGACCCCTGACCCCATTTTCACCCCATTTCACCCCGTTTTTACCCATTCTGACCCATTTTCACCCCGTTTTTTCCCGTTTCCCCGTGTTTTCCCCCCAGAAGCAGGACCGCATCGAGGCGCTGAAGCGGCAGCTGGAGCTGAACCCCCATCCCAGTGACCCCAGACCCCATTTTCACCCCGTTTTAACCCATTTTAACCCCGTTTTTTCCCGTTTTTTCCCGTTTTTTTGCCATTTTTCCGTTTTTCACCCCGTTTTTTCCCGTTTTCCCGTGTTTTCCCCCCAGAAGCAGGACCGCATCGAGGCGCTGAAGCGGCAGCTGGAGCTGAACCCTGATCCCAGTGACCCCAGACCCCATTTTCACCCCGTTTTAACCCATTCTGACCCATTTTAACCCCGTTTTTTCCCGTTTTTTCACACTTTAACCCCGTTTTTTCCCATTTTCACCCCGTTTTTTCCCGTTTCTGGCTGTTTTCCCCCCAGAAGCAGGACCGCATCGAGGCGCTGAAGCGGCAGGTGGAGCGGCACCGTTTCCACGTGCGCATGCTGGAGACGCTGCTGCGGATGCTGGACAACGACTCCATCCCGGTGGAGCCGGTGAGGAAGCTGAAGGACGACGTGGAGTACTACGTGGATTCCTGCCAGGAGCCCGACTTCGAGGAGAACGAGTTCCTCTACGACGACCTCGACCTCGACGACATCCGTAGGGAGCGGGGGGACTGCGGGATTGGGGGGGAAAATGGGATTTGGGGGAAAAAATAATGGGGGAAAATGGGGAAAAATAATGAGGAAAAAATGGGGATTGGGGAAAAAATAATGGGGATTGGGAGAAAAAAATAATGGGAATTGGGAGAAAAATAATGGGGGAAAATAATGGGGAAAAATAATGGGGATTGGGGGAGAAAAATGGGATTTGGGGGAAAAAATAATGGGGAAAATGGGGAAAAATAATGGGGAAAAAATGGGGATTGGGGAAAAAATAATGGGGATTGGGAGAAAAAAATAATGGGGGAAATTGGGGAAAAATGATGGGGAAAATGGGGAAAAATAATGGGGATTGGGGGGAAAAATAATGGGGGAAATTGGGGAAAAATAATGGGAATTGGGGAAAAAATAATGGGGGAAAAATAATGGGAATTGGGGAAA